TCATTTTTGGGTGCTACGAGCACCCGTACTGTAATTCCTTGTTTAGACACTTTTTAAGCACCGGCTGGCTTGACCGGGTTTTGCAAAAGACGGCTCACTTGACCACGGTAAAAGAAGGAATGCGGCCGTGCAAAAGATACCGTCAATAATAACGGCTGACAGAAAAAAAAACACTATGTTAAGACAAGAAACTTTCACTGGATTCTTATTCCTCGTGTCCCTGGCTGTAGTCCTGAGAATTTTCAGCAGATCTTACTGTATAGTTTCTGACATAATTAAAGGTAAAGTCTGCTCAAATTGCATGAGTGATATCTCGAGGTGAAATATTTGACAAATATTTCAATTACAAAAAAGAAGAATAAACATCATTATATGAAGAGAAATCCATAGATTACACTTTCATAGTGCAGCAGGATCTGTTTACACCTTCATAAGTATTCAAATAAATGTAATTCAGTAGGCCTAGATGTTTTTTAATAAAATGCAAGATCTTTTAACCGTCCTGAACTGTGTTAATAGATTGTAGTTCTGTAGTCATCCAGTAGAGTTTAGTGTTGGACTGAGTCCAAACACATGACCGTCTTTATACCTCCAAACCCTTTTCTTTATATAACTAACTTTGTGGTTAACTCCGTTTACTTTACCATTTGTAGTCTTTTAATGTCCGAATGTCGTTGGAAGTTATTTTCCATGTTTAATAATCATGAAGTGGCTCTTACAGACATGTCTTCTTCATGATACCTTGCATGGTGATACATTTATTTGGAGATGCAGAGTGAAATCCAAAGTGGTAAAAAGCTTCTGTATTTCAAATAAATCCCAAAATATGTAAAAGTAGTATAATAGTTCAAACTCAGAGACTTGTAGGTAAAAGACAAATCTACATAGCAAGTTATTTGTTTGTTTTTGTATTATTTATATATTTGTTTATTCATTCATCAGCTGGGATTAATATTGATTTCTAATTCATTGAATCCATTTTTTCACTGTATCTTGCATTATTTGATTTACTATTTCTGTCTACTTTTTTTCCATAAGTGGGTGTGTTACTTTATGTTCAACTTATTGTTACTGAACAGAAACTGTCTACCTTTTCTGCCCTGATGGTCGTGGCTTTTAACCTCCATCAAACATGAAATAAGGCCTGCAGACATACCCATGTTGCACGTGTCTGCAGGTCTTCTCTCAGCTCACAATGAGCCGGTACATCAGCTCAGTGGTTTCTTGTTGAGTGTTGGCTGGCAGGCAGGCAGGCAGGCAGGCAGGCAGGCAGGCAGGCAGGCAGGCAGGCAGGCAGGCAGGCAGGCAGGCAGGCAGGCAGGCAGGCAGGCAGGCAGGCAGGCAGGCAGGCAGGCTGATGATTGATGAGATCCCAGCTGGAGAGTTGTCACTTAATGTGGTAAAGTATATAAATAAATGCTCATTTAGTTATATTAGAAATGTGAGTGGGCTTAGATGTTACACCCCTGTACAGCGTACTGTAAGGGGAGAAATAAAGAAGAAAGAAACAAACACCTTGTTGCTGGCTTTCATTCAATGGTGTAATGAATGACGCTCAGACAACACGCTCCCCCTGCTGGCGCAAAACCGGAAGTGTAAAACAATAACAAAAGCTTAAGACCAAACCAATCAATTACCAATATGCTTTTAAACTTAACCTTAGCAGCATGAATTAACATTAAATTATAACTAGTTTTTTAGCATTTTTAAAGGATATACAACATTTTAGAAAGACACTAGTTTTAACATGTATTATTAATTTAACTTAGTGCACAATCTTATATCCATTACACTAGCTGGCAGTTATTTGCTTGATTTGTAGTTATATGAGCATGAGTTATTATTCCGCTTGCTGCTTTCACTTATTACTTGTCTCTCCATATTAAGTCCGAATTATTTTGCCACTGTTACTTTGTCATAACCAGAGCTTGAAACTAACTTTTGTCAGGAAGCTGGGTTCAGAGTTTCAGCAGTTGATATTATTTTATTTGCAGTCTAAACCTGGTTGAGCTGCCTACATGTCAGGTGAAACTTACACACTTCTTAACCACAGCCAACATTTGGCTGAGAGCAGGTGAATTTCAAGACCCATTCAAAACATTAGAACACCTACATTGATTGAGCAAGTATGTATTATTATGTCTTTTTGTAATTTCTGGGTCATGCTCCCATCAGCTCCCATCAGCCATCAGAATTCAGAGGTTAAAGTCACATAGGCCTTACCAAAGTTTTAATAATGTCAACATATGTTTTTGTGTACATTGTGACGGCCCCTGCTTGTATTTTTATAAGCTGGTGTCTATGTACTAATGTGCCTGTGTTTTCCTCGAGATGCCAAAGGAGATGGTCTGCATCCACTTCAGTTGGAGCACCTGGGTCTGTTGCCCAGCCGCAGCTTTCTGCAATCTTGCTCTTTTTTTGCCCTGCCAGACCAGTGCCTGCACCTTTCGTTTCATGAAGCACTTTGTGTAAGTGCACTCTTCAATACCTTCCACCACACTATGTTTTCACACACACCCACACGCAAGTCTGTGCGTTAAGATAACTGATTGTAGATTCATATTTTCTGTGTCTGTTTCACAGCAAATCAATGGTACAGCATTTTCCTAAACACATGAAAAATCCTTGAGCAGATGTTGACCAGCTTGAAAACGTGAAAAAAAAAAAACAATATTGAAGAGTTCCAAAGAGTTCATCAAGCATAATCAAAGCTCAAACGCTCACTTTTTAATGAAAACGATCCATCAGCGTGATCGTAGTAGATTTGAATGCCATCTACACTACTTCAAACAATATTTTTTTATTAAATCACACTCATGATTGATGTGGATAAATACGAGAGGAGGGTGAGCAGAGCAATATTCCCCGACGTGACAACCATGTCACTTTACTTATAATAACTTTTTATTAATCTTAACCTTTAATAATTAATTAGTCAATGATTAAAACTGTAGGCTATGTGTTGCTACTTTGAGAGACCAAGTACATTGTCCATGAAGACAATTCAAAAGATGTCCCATTTGCACTGGGAGCTGCAGCATTACTACAGCAGTTGTTGGGACACCCCCACATGTAAAGCGGTCAATCAAAACTCACAACAGTGACAGTTCGCCTGAATGATGCAGACGCACAGTGACGGCCCGAATAAGGCTGCTCAAAAGTGGTGCAAGTTAACAAACAAATGAGAAGAAGTTTTGATGCTAACTTTAAGATGCTGGTGATAAAACTAGCAGAGTCGACAATCAACTGCCAAGCAGCGAAGAAATATGGTGACGCAGAATGCAATGTACAGATATGGCGAACCCAAAAACACCGTCTTAAAAATGCTGACAGTCAAAGAAAAGCTTTCCGTGGTTCTGTGGTAATTATTGTCCATTAATGCATAAAAATAAAATAAAATATTTTTCTGCGTTTATCTTATAATTGCAGGACAATCTGCCAAGTATGGGGGCAAACGGTATGTATTTGAATTAAACAATGATAAAAAATTAATTTGTGTTTGAAAATCTTTTGTCTTGTGACCAAGGATTGGGAAAAAAATGGATGCGCTTGCAAAAATAACCAAAACACAGGATGTTGGTTTGTGAAGGAAGAGCGTGATAAAGCGCCTTTACTGGTCGGAATCAACTTTAGCATTAGGGGAGGAGGTTGTGGCCAGGTGGAGTTCCGTAGCCAACCACATCCAAAATGTCCACACGACACGATATATTGTTTCATCGTCATCATGATGTGCGCATGCGCAATAGTCACATCGCAGGACATGCATCTACAAAAGAAGTATGTCTGGAATAAGATAATTTACTCTTTATTTGGGTAATTGCAGGGGTCTGCAAAAGAGACATTTTTGCCAGTAGCTCCACCCAAAAAAATCTGTCTGGAGCCGCAAAATATAGGCTAGGCTATTTGAACCTTTCAATGACGTTTATACAGCCTGTCTATGTAATGGATATAAGATTGTGCACTAAGTTAAATTAATAATACATGTTAAAACTAGTGTCTTTCTAAAATGTTGTATATCCTTTAAAAATGCTAAAAAGCTAGTTATAATTTAATGTTAATTCATGCTGCTAAGGTTAAGTTTAAAAGCATATCGGTAATTGATTGGTTTGGTCTTAAGCTTTTGTTATTGTTTTACACTTCCGGTTTTACGCCAGCAGGGGGAGCGTGTTGTCTGAGCGTCATTCATTACACCATTGAATGAAAGCCAGCAACAAGGTGTTTGTTTCTTTCTTCTTTATTTCTCCCCTTACAGGTAAGAATACTGGTTAAAAGTGAATAAAACCAAGTATAAATGTGTTGTAAGTTTCCGGGAACAAGTTAGTGATATGTTTTCTGTATACAAAGTAATTTCAGTATGTTTATGAAGCAGTTTAAGCATGAATGTGTTTGCCGTGATGCGTGCATGCTAGCTTGAATCACACAGACAGAGAGCAATAGAGACAGGTGTAGTGCGTCTACTGAGAGTGTGTTATTTAAGTTGTATCGGTCAGTTGAACAATTACAGTTACATGGTACAGTTTAAAGAAATATCACTCTGCAAGTGTGTATGTGTATAACTACTAAAGCAACTAAGAAAGAGTTAAATGTGTTTACATCAAACAAGCAGTAGATTATACAATATTGAGAAATACTAGCCTGTTATATGACAGATGTAAAGGTATTAAACAGTGCATGTATGTTCATCTAAGTGTATAATATTGTACAATGATAATATGATGTGTTATTGCATATTATTCATTACACCATTGAATGAAAGCCAGCAACAACGTGTTTGTTTCTTTCTTCTTTATTTCTCCCCTTACAGTACGCTGTACAGGGGTGTAACATTTGGAGGCACCGCTGGGATTGTGTGTTGCCTGGGCCAGTGTCTACTCGAGATTGATGTCCCAGAGCATCGTACAGCCCTTTTACATCTACCAGACATCGAGAGCAGGAGGTGAACCGGCTGCAGTGGTATCCCGACACCTGAGAAAAGTGTGCATGCAATCTGAGGTATCACGACATACTAGGAGGGCAACTACCACTCCTCAAAGGTCAAAGGCACTACTTAACCCAGACACCTAAGCTCTTCTGTTGAAAGATGGATTCATCAGAGTTAGAGAAGTTACAGCTTGAAATAATAGGAGGATTGTGTGCGCTGTCCAGAGCCATTTTGGTGGAATTACGTGACAATCTCTTCATCGCAGGCCCAGAATTTGAGCATGTCACTGGCAAGGGTCGTGCAGCACTCATCACACTCATTTCAAACCACATCCAGAGAGCGGAGTTAGAGAAACTGGAGGACAAAGGTATGTCTGACTTACTCCATCTACAAGACACAATTTCTGAGCTCCAGGTAGCTGAAAAGAAAGATAAATCAGGACAGATAAATGCCCAAGGAACACAATTAACAGAGCAACAAAGAGAACGAAATCAAGAAGAGGAAAGGCTAGTGAAAGAAATTGAGGCTCTGCAGCTTCAGTTGACGACAACACAGGGGCACGGGAAAACAGATGATCAAGAAAATATAGATATCAACAACAAGGCTTCTAGCAGAACATCTACACAGAGCGCATCTCACTGTCATCCACCTTGGCATAAAGACTTTAAAATATCTGGTTAAATTGGTGAGCCTGGACAGAAGGAGAGACTCACTTTTTCAAGTTTAGCTCGACAAATCGAACATGGCCTGAGCAAAGGAGTTCCAGAATCTGAGATTGTGGATGCCGTGATAAAAGCAATCTCCCCTGGCATGCAAATTCGTAGCTACCTAGAGGGAAAAGCTAACTTGACCGTACCCACATTAAGACGGATACTTCGTTCTCATTACCAGGAAAAGAGTGCAACCGAACTCTACAAACAGCTGACCTCAGAAGTTCAAGGCATCAAAGAAACTCCGCAGAACTTCCTCATTCGTGCTTTTGACCTCAGACAAAAGATTTTGTTTGCCTCACAAGAAGCAGAGTCAGGCCTCAAATATGACCCAGGTTTAGTACAGAACATGTTTCTTCACACTGTGTTAACTGGGCTACAAAATGATAACATAAAACGTGACCTTCGACCATACCTTGAACAAACTGACATCTCTGATGAACTGTTACTTGAGCGAATGAACACAGCATGTGCTTATGAGACGGAGAGCCAAAATAAAAGGAAGCTGTTGGGACAACAACGTCCTATAAATATTCACTCAGCCCAGTCCAACACTGCTCCTGTTGAAAAGAATGAAAAACCATCAACTCAACAGAACTCAGGTAAAATTCCCTCAACTGTATTGACTCAGCTTGAAGAAATGAGGTCTGAAATGACTTTGCTGAAAGATCTTAAAGTCGAAGTATCCCAGATAAGAGAGTCTATGCAGCAGCCCCAGTACATGTATAGAGATCAGCAGCCTCAAACAAGAGGATTGGATGGCACATCAGCTCAGCAGTTCCCAGGTCATCAGATGCAAGAATTGCCCCAGAGATACTGGTACACGCCTGGCCCCGGACAGAGAGGTGAGACTGCACAGTATCAGCAAAAGTTTGCCCCACAGCGCAGCTTCCCACCACAAAATCAGAGACGTATGAGGAGATGTTTTAGCTGTCAACAGCGGGGAGCTGAGGACTACTGTACACACTGTTTCAGGTGCGGCAGCAGTGAGCATTTCCTGGCTGGTTGTCGAGCTAGAGGACAAAGACATGTTGGAGGTGACCCTTTAAACGGGGAAAGGTCGCTCGCGCGGGACAGGGAGTGACCAGTCATACAGAGAGGTCCCAGCACTGTGCTCACTGTGGGAAAGAAGGTGAAGAGATGAGACTGAAACAATGTGCATCATGTAAAAATGAACTCTACTGTTCTAAGTCATGTCAAGTTAATGGTTGGGCTGTGCACCAAGAAAAATGTGTGCCATTTTCATGTATGACTGTGAACACTCACTCAAAAGGAAGAAAACAAGCAAAAGTGGCTCCTCTGGTAGGAAAAAAATATGTGATCGACTGTTACATTCAACATGAAAGAGTTCAAGCTTTGTGGGACTCAGGTTCCCAAGTAACAATAATGGATGAACAATGGAAACAAGAACACGTACCAGACTTGAGACTGAGAGACATTTCTGAAATTCTGGACAGTGCAGATACTCTTGACATTGTGGCAGCAAATGGTGAGAATATACCATATGCAGGCTGGGTGAAGATTACTTTCAGACTAGCTCCAGGAGAAGCAGTCACCACAGAAGTTATAGTTCCAACACTTGTGATGAAAGGTAACAATCTGTTTCGTCCCATAATTGGCTCTAATGTTATCGATCTCATTATAAACAGTGAATCAAAACAGTCCAGCTCTAACAACAGAGAACGCCTCAGTCACGCAGTGAGGGCAGCATTCCCTGATCTCAAGCCAAACCAAGCAGAAGCCTTTGTACAGCAAGTAAGTGTTGAGCAAAATCATGAATATGTTGTGAAGACAAAAAAAGACAGGATCAACATACCAAAACACATGTCTGTCAAAGTTGAGTGCCATGTAAATGTGTCTGCACCAGATGAAGATACAACACTTATCTTTGAGCCAGATGTGAACCCACGCTGGGCTGAGGGACTTCAATTCTGTGACACGCTTGTAAAAGTGGGAAAAGGTAATAAACCATCTATTACTGTTAGTGTACAGAATCCTACAGACCATGACATAGTGCTGGCAGGAAGGACTGTGATTGGGACTGTGCAGCAGATTCAGGCAGTTTATCCAGCTTCCATGCTAGAGGGTTGCCGCCCTCCACCTCCAGCAACTATGAATCACATCAGAGTTGAAAAGAAACACAGTAATGACAATTTATGGGACCCACCTGTGAATCTGAGCCACCTCAGCGAACCCGAGAAGGAGATAGCTCACCAGATGTTGAGAGAGGAGTCGGCTTCATTCTCAAAAACAGATGATGATATCGGCTGCATAGAGAAACTGCAACTCAGCATATCTCTGAAAGACACTGAACCTGTCGCAAAAACATACCTCTCTGTACCTAAGCCACTTTACAGAGAGATGAAAGATTACTTGCATGACCTCATCGCACAAGGCTGGGTGGAGAAGTCAAACTCACCGTATGCATCACCAGTGGTTTGTGTACGAAAAAAAGATGGAACTCTGCGGCTGTGTATTGACTTCCGTGAAGTGAACAAGAAAACCCTTCCTGATCGCCAACCGATTCCCAGAGTGCAAGACATCATGGATGGCCTAGGTGGAAATTCCTGGTTCTCTCTCTTAGATCAAGGTAAAGCTTACCATCAGGGCTTCATGGCTAAAGAAAGCAGACCTATGACAGCTTTTGTGACACCTTGGGGTCTTTATGAATGGATTCGAATACCCTTTGGTTTGATGAATGCCCCAGCTGCCTTCCAGCGATGTATGGAAGAATGTTTGGAAGGGCTGCGTGATGAGATCTTCATACCATACCTGGATGACACGCTTGTCTTTAGCAAATCATTTGAGGACCATGTTGAGGATGTGAGAACAGTGTTACAGCGACTACGTCAGCATGGGATAAAGTTGAAACCAAGTAAGTGTGAAGTCTTCAAGCGTGAGGTTCGTTATTTAGGACGTATATCTGCAGAGGGCAGCAAAATGGACCCTGCTGATACGCTTGCTGTCAGAGCTTTAAAGGAGAAGAAACCAAAGACTGTGGGAGAGCTGAGAGCTGTCATGGGACTACTGAGCTACAGGGGTGTAACACTAGCAAGCCAAAGACACAATATGAAATGTGCCCTGTCATATAGGTTCACTTTGCTAGTTTTCTGTCTTGTTAATAACGACCCTGGCCTCTTACAAAGTGGTCTTGTATCCTTGTTTTAAGCTTGCCAGTTTGTCATTTTACGACACATAGGCTAACTCAAAGTCTGTCTTCTTGTTTGACATTTTATAAATATGACCACTGATGACTGACTTGTGCTCTTAACTTCTGTAGTTTCTAATACCATACGAACCTGGAAGTGTTTTACAACTTGACAAAGTCAGCTGGTTTAGGTATCATAATATTTTGTTGTAAATCCCCTCGCATAGTTTCGCGCACCTCGCCGTACTTCCGGTGCCAAACTGCGCAGGCGCGTACGATCGCTAACATACGTCATCATTGTGTCAACAGGGTTGAGTAGACACTTTGATGTGTGATGTAACAATCCATAACTCGCTTATAATTAGATTTAGGATTTTCAGATCAAGATTGTGAACAGACAGTCAAATTTATCAGAATAACTATATCCCTTTAACTGAACCCAGAGAAGTCCATCATAGCGAACAGTCATGAAATCAAACAAAAAGAAAGGAAGGAAGGAGAAAACTTTAAAAAGCTCTCAACAGAAAAAGTCTAATCTCAAACAAAGCACAATGGATCCATCTAACATGGAAAAGGAAGCAGCATCTTTATAACGATCAACACAAAGCAGGGGATAATTAATATGGACACAACTTCGTCCCTTTGCAATCATTTGGAAATGGATGATGAAGAGGAACACTTTGCTGAGAAAGTAATGCTACTGAAAAATAGCTTTTGTATTATATTCAAGTCATTCTTTGACAGCCTTACTAAGAGGCAAAAAAATGATTTAAGCAGAGGCATATTGGACATGGAGGGGAAGAAGAAGCTGACCAGCATGTATGCAGATGTGCTGAGATTTTCCGTAGAGACAGTCACTTCATTGTATTTTGATGATATAGTTTGCAACGAGTTGAACTTAGGTTTAGGTCATAGAAGGGCCAGTAAAATCTACAATGAAAAAATGGAACAGAATTTAAAAGGCTCCTTCAGCGAGGCTTTCTGGGAAGTGGTTGGTGCTGACGCATCGATCAGAGTTACTCCCACATTTGCAGAGGCTTTCCTCAATATGTTCACCAATGGCGATGACTCCATTATCTTAAAGGCTATGAAAGATTTAAAACAACCCTTTGTTGTCCATTCTGGTACCTGTGCCAAGTGCCCAAACTGCAGAGCATGCAGAGGGGTGTTCAAAGGTGTCATAAGGACATTGAAAGATGTTCTCAAAAGCCTTTGCAAACAAATTGACACTTCAAGGAGCCACAGAAATGCAGATATCAAAAGTGAAGTCCCAGAGAAGAAGTCAGTCAATTGGCGGAGCAATGAAAAGATCGACACAGAGCAGGGGATAATTAATATGGACACAACTCCGTCCCTTCGCAATCATTTGGAAATGGATGAACTTTATGAGTTTGCTAATACAGAGGAAAGCTTTGTTGAGCAAGAAGCAGAGAAGAAGTCAAAGTGGTGGAGCATCTTCATCAAACAGAAAAAGAATAATGTGCAGCCAACTATTTCTGAAGAACAAGTCAGAGTCAAGTCAAATAGGTGGAGCTGGTTTAAGAAACTGAGGATGAATAAAGTGCAGCAAGTTGGAGTCAAGTCAAATAAGGGCAAGAAGAAGGAGGAGAAAAATACTCCAGAGCGATTCCTCTGTTGCTGTGACTGCGAAGTCTTGGAATAGCCCCCCCTCTATACCTCACCAACCGTTCATTTTCTCCCCTTTTATCTCCCCCTTTAGCTCCACCCCCTCCCCAAACCTTTCACTTTATCACCTTATTCCCTCAGTTCTATAAAAACTGAAGCTGATAAAGTTGATTGTTGAAATTATAAATAGTGCACAACAACTGCACAACTTATTGAAAAGTAATTAATATTAGACCCTAGCTTTCCCTTTTCTACCTTTTAATCCTTGTCTCTCTTATTTAGGTTTACTCCGGGTGCTCCGGTTCCCCTAACACGAATTCTTAATTCGACTATAAAAAAAAATCCAATTTGAAAAAGAATAAATAAAGTAATTGACTTGAACCAGAAAATGACATGGAAAAAGTGATTATTTGCAAGTTATCTTAGGTTGACTGTTTTTTTCAGAGTTGATCTATGCCACCCACCATTCTGATGTAGGCTACTACACAATGTCTTCTGTTTCTGTCAAAAGAAATCAAAACATTTTAACCCTAACAATATACTGTCTCCCAATTTGGTGTCTTACTACAATTTAACTTTTGTAATGGAACTTTTAATCTTTTCCTGTATATTATATTAATTGAAATGTCTTTGTTGCCATTTAACAGGGGATCCAGCCAGAGTCAGTGGATGAGATGGTGGTTCGGAAACCAAAATTGAAGTTGGTGTCAAATCAGGTGTAAAATCCACCTTGTATGCAGCATATTCAGGTGAGTCAACCATATGAATGTTATTCTAAACATCTAGGATAGGATAGGATAGGATAATACTTTATTGATCCCCAGAGGGGAAATTCGGGCGTTACAGCAGCACAGACAAGAAAGCTCAAATACACATTAAACAGAATAGATGAGATAAATAAAAATAAAAATAAAAAATAAAAACAGGGGGTATATACAGTACAAAAATGAATGTTGAAGTTAACTGGGGGGAATTGAGAATTGAAACAGTATTTGAAGAGAATGACAAGATAAAGTGACAAGTGATGATTAAAGTGACTTGGTATGATAAATAAATGGTATAATATAGTGCAATATGAACAATATAGTGTAATATAATGAAATGTTATATAATATAGACTAGTATAATAATAAATATATAGAATGTACAGTATATATGTATATATATCTATGTATATACGCACACACCTTGAGGATCCTGGGACTGATGTTGTCTGGTCCACTGGCTTTTCTGATGTGGAGTCTGGAGAGTTCTCTTTGTACCTGGCTGGTAGTAAGAGTGAGAGTGGGACAGTGAGCGGGGTGAGGGTGAGGGTGGGCTGTCCTTTGAAGCTGCTGATGAGGAGCTGAGAGAGGGGGGGAGGTGGTCAGGACCTTGATGGGAGGAAGAGGAAGAGCAGAGTCTCCAGCAGAGGTGTGCAAACAATTGCAGTTGGCAGTTCTATTAAAAACACACAAAATATAACTGATGAATCCTCATATAATCTTGTGTGGTGGGGCCCCTTCCTGACCCGGGTGTGATGTCTGTTGGAGAGAAATTGAAAGACATTTAGCCACAGCTGGGGATCTGTAAGATTCTTCATGGACTTGAGGAACTCACCATGGTGGAGTCCAAATTTGGTCTTGTGCCCTTCGGATCAGTTCTATCATACCAGTGCCCCTTAGAGGCTACTAGGGAAATAATGAAACATCCAAATGCCCCAGAATTCCCTCTGCTGCCTGTTGAAGGCTACAGGTTTCTAGCTGACTTTGAGTTTACTGCTGACTATGAGCAGCATTACCACCTTGAGAGCCTAAAGGTGTCTCACGAACTCTCTGCTGCCATAGAAGCTGAGACCAGGCAACAGTCTGTCAGCCCGCTGTGGGTCTCAGTACGAAAGCCAAGAGTGACTGCCAGCAGGTTCAGGGAGGCATGTCATGTACGTGGTGAGTTCTCAGCAAAAGCCCTGGCAGCGCATATTCTTAAAGGAGCGCCACAGACCCTGGCAATGAAAAGGGGTCTGAAGCAGGAGCCTGACATAATAAAACAGTTTTCTGATTTGTTTAATTTGTCTTCATTGTGCACCCTGATGCACCTCACCTTGGTGTCAGCCCAGATGGCAAAGTTTTTGACCCGACTGAAACTCCACCATTTGGACTGGTGGAAGTGAAATGCTGCAGTACCGATTCTGTTGCTGAGGTTAAGCACCTAACACCAGTCAGAGGTCAGGCCACACTTAAAAAGGGTCATAAATATTACTGGCAGGTTCAGGGCCAACTTGCCATCAGCGGACTGGAGTGGTGTGACTTTGTAACTGACACGCACACACACAGATCTCACAGTTCAGAGGGTCTGGAGGGATGAAGACACCATTCGTTCAATGAGGCAGCAGCTTGACATGTTCTATTACAACATCTATATGGATGTGTTTCTCAAGTCCAAACATTGAGTACTGTATGTGCTATCAATGCAGTTTATGAATTGTTGAGTGAAAAATCATAACCTTGTAAATAAGACTGTTTAATTAATGTTAAATGAAATGTTTACATGTGCCTTTTAATGAATTAAAACTAAAATGTATTTGTGTAACTGACTACAGTTCTGTTTTTTATGCTGCACTAAATAGTTATTCTACTTGACATGCTGTGATCCCATTTTAGATAAAAATGAGGAATATGTGATGTGAGGGTCTGTGTTTACTTCTTTTTTATTCAAATGTTAATCTCTTGACTTTGTAATGTAAATAAGTAACATATCATACACAAAATAATGAACATCACATATATACAATTCATGTGTTAATCTCTTGATTTGTAATGTAAATAACATATAAACAAAATAATATACATTACAGATATACAATTCATGTATACATTACATTTGATTAATTGTCATTAATAACTGGGGAATGTGCTAAATCCAACCAGCTAGACAGGCTTGTCACCTTTGATGTCCAGGGGGCCTTGGTAGTTCGTCAACAGGCAGCAAACTGCCCATAGTTGGTTGATGGAGCCGGCCAAGGAGAGAGGAACAACCCCATCCCAGATATGGTATTCCTTGACACGTCGTATTATCCTCTCCACCAACACTCTCAGGCAGGCAATAGCTTGAGTTTTTCCAGTGTCTGATGTGCTGAGCTGAGGGGCGGTTTTTAGTGGGGGGATGATCAGTGATGCCCCTACCTCTGCCAGCATATCCTCAATTAAAAACCCTTTGTCATTTATTATAAGACATTTGTTTTCTATTGAACCCCGTGAAGTCATGGAGTCTGTGGACAGTGTCAGCTTCACACCAAAAAATTTAAGTATTAGAAAAAATAGTGTTAAGACTGGCATCTATTATGATGAGCTGCAGCTACCTTGTTCAATATTATTCCTGCAGATGTGGCTAATAACAAAAAAAACACCCTGAACTGTCACATGTAGTTAACTGTACATTTTGTCTTGTCTGAGGCATTAATTGAACACCTTTGTATTTCTCCTATAGACACAGTGTGGATTATTGGTGACTGGTCCGTCGAGGTGCCCAGAGAGCTGCAGAGACAGAGGAAGAAACCTGAGCTTCAACAACATCTGCATTTGTTGGTTCTTCTGGGGTGGATTTCGGTTGCTTCTCTTCAACAGCTCGCTGTGAGGGAGGTCTCCCCCGGATGGCCTGAGTGATGACACCCACAGACTGAGAGCTGAGACGTGTTTTAAGCCTCTTGACAAACCGTTACACCGCGCCCGCCTGTCAAGCTGGTCAGCTACACGCCTTATTGTGAATAACTCTTATCCTTCATCAAATCAAAACTGATGAGTCATCAAAACATTCACCCCCCGTACAGTGTGTGTCGATCGAGACATGAGCTAATCACACCTATTTGTTTGTTTTGTACCAAGCTGTAAACATGTTAATCTCTGCTATAAAAACAGACTTTTTTTAATGTTGTTTTTCAGATTAAATAAATATTTCTATATAAATGCACTCCTTTATGTCTACTTATGAGTATACATTTCAGATTTGAAATGACAAGACTAAAATGTGCATTAATGCTCAACTCAATAGCTTAGGGAAGGAAGTCTACTTTTACACAACTTTTTATTCTTTTGATAAATACTAATGCAGTTCATTTCTTAAAATGGGATGGAACAGAGTCATTGCAAAATGATGACCTTAAACACAGCCCCATTCTTAAATCAATATACATGGAGAGTAAATAAGATCAATAACTTGTGAATAAAAGCACAGTTAAAAATGATTTAGAAATGTAGTCTTCCCAGATCAATATCACATAATATCAACTTCTCCCATCTAAACTGGACAAAGGGTTTTAAAATGGGAAGAAAATGGTTTGATTGCAAGTTGTTTGGAGGAGATCTATTTTTATTTGAACAGCTGAAGCATGAATACAGTCTTCCAAGGTGCAAACCCTCCTCCTCCTCCTGAAGCTTGTGGAGCTCCTTGATGTACTGCTGTCTTATCTGCTGGCGATCTTCTCTCACCAGAACTTTGACTGTTGAAATGTCATTCTGAAGAAGCTCGAACATGTGACACGGATCCAGGAGAACATGGACTTTTAGTGAGGGGTCTTCAGGATGGCAAAGAAAGAGAGAAAATATCAGTTATTCATTAAATCATTTTTTTTGTTCTCATCTATTTTTCTGTATTCATCTGTGTGTAAGATTACATTTATAAATTCAACAGTGTACTACCCAGACAACAAAGGTCCAGTATTCAGGTAATCAACATCTATTCAAAGTTAAGAAGATAAACCTTATTGTAATCATTCTATTTTCAGCTCTCTCACTCACTCACACAATGATATTCCACATCAAATGATCTCAGATTTTGGGTGAGGAAAAATTAAGCAGCTTATTGTGGATAGTACTTCATCTTAACATGAAACAAATATAACCTGAATTATTTAAATCATTAACAGGTCCCAACTCTCTGTGCTTTAGTACAGAACATACAGTAACTCATTTATTATTAACATGAGCTCAGTACATGGCTGTATTCTTCAAACTATTTCTTATACTTTATATCTATGTGCTTTATATCTTATTTTCATTCCATATGTTATTTATATTTTATATTTCTACTGCTATATTCTGTAAATGAGTTCAGTGAAAATTAATATGGTTATTAATATAGTTACACAGTACACATTGCTGCGAGAGCTAAAAGCACTGCTAGGGAGAGTCAGGATGGGATAGGATGTGGGTAATGGAGAGAGAGAAATAGGAGAGGAGGACAACAGCAAACACAGATGCAGAAGCAGGTCAGGTCAGAAAAGCACATTTCCTTAGAAATAGGCCTCATTTCTATTCTTCTGTGCTTTGTAGACAGGACATCAAGCACAGAGGCACTGATCCAGAGTGGCTGAGAATGCCTCAAAGACTTGGCTGTACCACACACAGCATGGTAAGTTACATTTTTACCTGCATAATTTGTTCTATCATGAATAATCTTTTTTTCCCCCCATTTTCTTTCTTATTTCCTTAGCTACTTGTTATTATATGTGATCTTATTGTGTTGTGCATAATTCAATCACAAAAAAAGAATAAATTAACAGGTATATCTGTGGATATTTAGCTAATTTGATCAATGATTGCTTTACTTTTTAGGGATGTTTTGTTGACTGTGCTGCAAATAAGAAAGGCAGGGCAAAGAGAGCTTTTCTTGAGGTCGGAGTGACTGTATACAGAAAAGATTACTTGGAACGGCACGTCACTGAAGCACCACCAGGAGAGCATCAGATGTCAGGCCTCTTGTTTCATCTGGTGGGTTCTGATTTCAACAGCCGTTTTGTAATAACTTCAGTATATTCAAATCCATTTTTAATAACTTTGTCATTTACAGGCATCTCAATGATGGATTCCTCTGAGCCAACTGTTGTTTTAGAGCACGAGGCAATCATTGGTGGGTTCAAGGGCCTTTACTGGCTCATAAAAAAGTAACTGGCCCCCCACACAAACTACCCAAAGCTGTTGAGCCTGGCTGAGCTTCTAGGATGTAACTATTTCAAGAGATTAAAGGTAAAGGTCCCCTAGCCATAATTTCAAATTTAATTCAATCTTAACATTAATGAATACATTTTTTAAATATTTTATATTTTACTTTTCCCAACGTCAGATTGACCAGAGGAATAATTATAGATCTCATCGTATCATTGACGGAATGCTTGAGATCTTAGCAGGAGTCATCGAGGAGCCGACTTCCAGGCTAGCACTGATGTCTCTATGTCCAGACTGCTTCATTTGCATGTCTGCTATAGGACCATTTATTTTGTCTGATTTTAGAATTGCATACATCCTTGGTCCGAATGAACTTTTAATACTAAATACTTGCCTTTGCTTTCTCTCAGATACCTGGATAAAGAGGGACATGTGTTGAGTCAATTCCTGGACTTGGTCTCTATTGACGATGGCAAAGCAGACTCTGTGTTGTGACAGCCATCAAGGATGTAATCTTGAGGAAGGGCCTCCCAACAGAGAAACTCTATGGACTTGGGACTGAGGGGGCAGCCGTGATGACAGGTAAATATTTAATGCCTATGTGAGCTTGTTTTGTCTGTTGTATCCCATGCTTGTCACTCATTGATTTTATATACATTTTGGCGGCGTGTGAATGGGGTCCCTATTCAATGGGGGTGAATAGGGACCACCTTTAAGAACTTCATTTATTTTTCAGAAACAGTGCAAATCGTACTGCAACACTCGGGGCAGCATCGGCTACCCTGGGTGTCAGTGATCTGAAAATAAAGGTAATAGTTATTTGATACCATTGTAGTTATCTTCTGTCTATTCATAACTAATCATTCTGTCCTTTATTGCAACATTTTCAGGAAGTGAAGGATACAAGCTGGCTCTTTCAGCACAGGGTCATCGAGACCCTACTGAGGAACTTGAGTGCATTCCTTGGAGCCTTGGCAGAGGAGGCAGAGATGAGAAGATGTCCAGTGGCAAAGGGACCCTACACATTCTGTGCTACATACAGATAAAGCGGCAGCAGTTTACCTCCAGGCTGATGTTTTGCCCCACCTCGCATGTCTGTCCAAAATCTTTCAAAAAGCAAATGTCAACTTTTTACAAATCAAGGAGCAGGTAAGCTTAATGTGTTTATTATCTATATTATCATCTATTTATTCAAATCTGTTTGATTTCACACATTGAAATGAGGGTTGTTTGCAGGTCTGACCAATACTTAACAGCATCTTTTCTTTTTTATATATAGGTTCCTGTCACAATTCAGTCTCTGGCTGGACAGACTCCACTCCCTGGATCATGCCTGCCTCGCCTCCATCAGGACCTCGATGATCCCCAAGGACTCGGAGCCAGCACGAGGAGGAGAGGAATAGGAGAGGGCGAGATGTCATGAAGCGCTGAGGGAGGAGCAGTGAGCCAGAACCCAGCGAGAGGTAAATGTCCAATTTTGAAACTATGAATGAGAGAAAATGGAATTTATACTCCTGAATAGACTATGGCCTGGCCCTTAATGACGGAGGTAACAGTGGGTGTAGGCTCTTTCTAAAAATATGTTGATTTATTCATTGTAGGTCATCCACCCTTACATAACTGGCCTGGAAACACACCTGGAGAGGAGGTTTCATGATCTGGACATTCTTGGGGCCTTCAGTATCTTGGGACCCGCACCGCAATCAACCACTCTACAAGATGATACAATCAACATCTCTCATCTGCGGACTCGCAGGAAATGTTGCCCTGAACATGAGAATGAGGTCCTGCAGGAGTGGTCCTCGTTCAAAAATCATGTCCTTCCTGGGGCATTCACGGTGGGTCAATTAAGCTGATTCTGACTACAATCAACTACAGTTCACAATACACACACATAGACTAATGCCTTGGTAAACCAAATGTTGTTTCAAGAACAATAACCAGGAGATCATGAGTCTGCTGGCAAGCGAGTTTGATGAGTGGACCAACCTCTACCCCTGTCTGAGCCTCCTTGCAGGCATTGCACTTGTTTTACCCGTTTCCTGTGTCAATTACAACGTGATTTCTCAACGGTGAACAGGGTAAGAGCATGACCTTGAACAGGACAACAAATAATCATGCATTTTCTTCATATTAGTGCAGTTTGTGGTATTTTCTTTGCTTTATCCTCAGGTGAAAACAGACCTGAAACCAGCTTCAAGGTGAACACCTGGCTGCCTGCCTGAGGATCTCCATAAACGGACCCCATCCTGAGGCCTTCTCATGTAATAGGGCATTGGAATATTTTTTCAGAAAGCCCCATAAAATAAAATGTTCAAACACATCTTGCAAACTTTGCAACAAGT